TATTATTACATTTTGTAACCGCATACATATTACACTGTTTACATTTTCACGTCAAAACTTATCTTAAGGCCATAGCTCATAATTTGTGGCAGAATGGTGCGATATGCGCGAGAGAATGAGTGTGATTGAGGTGAATGCGACACAAAAACGGTTAGTAACAAAATATTTACACACACACACACCAAACGATCCATAATAATAATAAGTAGCAAACAGTGTACACATCATTCGATCGAATAAGGTAAAGTAACCATATTCATTAGACATTAATTCGAATGTAAAAAATATAATATTGTAGCACATTCGACGACGTTGTGTCGCACAACACGAAATTGGTCGCAATCATGCATAAATACTCTTCACGGGGCCACTGTAAATAATATACACACAAGTTGTACTGCCACATATGCTAATGTATGGAAAAAGGTGAAATTCGAACGCTTACACTTGCGCCTTAATAGGTTAGTTTGAGAAAAGTAATTTGCAATTCGTCGACGAGTGCCCAGGTAGTCGAGAAGCAAAACACTTGAATACGCGTATAGTTTTCGGTGCTTCCGTTGTACCGTGCATGGAAATGGTTGTCTCCAGCGGCATTAACAAAACATTGAATGCATAACGATAATTAATTCCAAAGACTCATCATCTAAATTAGAATAAAAATTTGCTTGAGATTCAACAGATTCAACGATGGAAGAAACGAATAATAATCATTCTTGCAGTAAAAGAGAGAGGAGAGACTCTTTCTTTCTTTCAAATTGTTGGGAAAAAGAGAGACTGAATGAGAGAAAATCTCTCGTCGTCGTCATAAAATCAAATTGCATACATAAAGTGTTCAGTTTCCGAGCTCTGTCGTGTTCATGCATACAGAAATGCGAGAAGAAAAGAAAACAGCGACAAATCGAGCGAACCGGCAGCAATAGAGATTTATCATTATTCATAGCACTTTATAGTATAGCCAAAAGCGGTGATCATGTAAATGTAAAATTATTCACCATTCAAGTGGAAACTAGATTAATTGCAATGATATATATAGAAATAAATCTATGAATAAAGGGTTTGTCAAAAGTAGTGGTTTTTCGAATTGAAGTGCAATATAACAAAACCCGAAGCCACTAATGACATGACCATCAAGACACTGTAGATAGCATAAAATGATTTGGTCTTCAGCACGGCACAGCATTGTGTGCTTCATTTCGTTATTTCGAATTTCGATGTATCAACTAAACAATATATTTTACATCAATTGACAGCCTGTCAAGAGTATCTTCCTCTCTCGCTCTATCGTGCACACCAGTTATTTGCACTTCTGAGCGCTACCGATGAAGAAAATTACACACACAAACTGTAATAACATGGCCGGTTTTATCTGCGATATAAATCATGATTAATTTTTCTGCAATTGTAGTCTACCATAAAACCAAATGGCAGTGGTTATTGTGTTTTGCGATATTGCTTCTCTACGGTTTTGTGTCCGCAACACTCTAAATATACATAAAAAACACACACACACACACTCGAGAGAGAGCGAGAGAGCCAAGAAGTAAATGAACTACTAGTACTCACAGTCGATCGATGCATTTGCAGACTCAATTCATGTTCGCTACATTTTTCATGGATTTTCATTATTATTTTGGGTTCGTTTTAAAAATAAACCCAGGCCGATGTGTATATTCACAATGCACATGCGGTTTTTGTAGAAAATCCATTGGGAAAATGTTGATTTATCGCAATTATCCATAAATTATAACATTGGCAACGAAACGCCATTCGAATGTATATGGAAGCATCGCATATAGAATGTATTCTGACAAATATTCATTTTGCCTCTTGATATGTAGTGAAACCATTCATCTTTGTGGGTTTCAATGTATACAATGTGTCCAATGTTTGTGGTTCTGTTTTTATTTTTGCATTGACAAATATCACTGTGTATGGATGCAATCAATGTTGAGATGCATGCAGTGGCATTGTCAGTGCATGTTGTAATTAACGATGTTAATTCTTCGTTTTGATCATCATTACTACTAGATTCAATTGTAGTTTCGGTCTGAGCTCTCTAGTCTCTTTCTCCTCTCCCTCTCCAATAATTTTCTCTCTTACAATCTATGGGCTGTTGCTGTTTTTTCATCTTTGCTTCGAGAAATCCGCGCGAGCAGAATGCAAATGCAGTGCACAAAGAGATAGAGACGAACAAATGCATATTGTTAGGTCTGTTTGCTCGTAAATTTACATGTGATTGGAATTTGAATATTTTAAATGCTTGGCTTTTTCTACCATTCCTTTATCGATATACAGTGCTACTGCGGTTTATTTCGTATTTTGTTTTCGCGCTTGCTTTTCCAACTGCCAACAATCGTACAGATATAAAAAAAACCGCAGCACTGCACATCGCAATCCACTGTGTTCGTGTGTGTGTGTGTCTATGTGAAAATGGTGTATTTGAAAATCTACACAATGATCACACTCTTCAATCGTATATTTTGCCAATTATCATGGCTGTCATTTTTGGTTTTGAATAAAATTCAAATTTAATGTCTGGCTGGTGATTGCGATCGCAAAATTTCCTCATTCAGTTTGAAAAGAGGTTTTTTTTTTGATACTATCAGGGTGTGGTCGCTTCTAGTAACTCGATTTCAACTATCTGTACATTTTAAACTTTACAAATTTCATCTTCGGATCTTTTTTCCCTCATTTCGGCACCACACATGTATACATTTTTTTACAAAACAAAATACTATGCACACTGATAACGGTGAATGCAAGTCGAATTGTATCCGTTGGTAGAATTTATTGGCATCGAGAGTACCATTTTGGGTTTGGCCATATCTATTTCTCATTCGTCGTTAGCTTAAAACTTTTCGAAGGCATTGAACTAGAACAAATGTGATTGTTGAGTTTTTGAGGATGTGTGTATGAGAAAACATCTGGCTCACAAGCCCTGCAGCCACTTCAGTGCACACACTTGAATGATATCAAAGCAAACGAACCGATGCACTGGCTCAAAAGAACGATAATTGCATTCCACTTACAACAAAAATTGAATAAACTCTTTATCACAAAATATTCGTTACATAATCCATTTTTTGAACCGTTTATTTCTATCGTGTCGATTCAACTATATCTGCCAACAATTTTGTTTGTTTCGAGATATTATTACTTTTTTTGCAATCGTATTTTTACCGTAACATTTTATTTCGATCTGTATTTACATTTTTCTCGCGTTCGCATTACATTTTCGTTTTCCATAATAATGTTTTTCATTTTTTTTTTTTTTTTTGCTTTCGTCGAGAGTTGTTATTTTTTTCGGATTTAGTATGTATTTCAAGTGTTTTTTTCAATTTGAAATGGAATGCATCGCGCTCATTTGGGCGTTGCTCAGCCGAGCGTATTTCCGTTTTTGATTATTTACATAAAATATCAAACCAAAATAAAAACCGCCTGTAATGCTATTGCATTGGTGCTGTTACTGTTGCTGCTGATGCTCTTCTTAACAGCAGTGGTCTTTTTTACCGCTTTCTCTCTGTCTCTCTTCACCTACCAATTTTGTGTATGTGTGTGTGTGTGTGTGTTTTGTGCTGTGCGAGCCACTGCTCGTTTTGAGGTATTTCGAGAGGCATCTTAGTACTTTTTCTCTGTATTTTTCTTCTATTCGCACAAAATTGCTCATTTCGATGTTATTTCGCTTACAGAACAAGCCATGTCTATGGTTGGAAAGGCATTTTTTCTCAAGATAGAATCGGAGCATTTTTTTTCTTCTTCAAAGTAGCAAAGAAAAATAAGATCTAATGAATAAAGTTTGCACAGACAAAAAAAAAACTTTAAATGTGTTCATACAAAGGAAAATGAATTCACATCAGAATAAAATATTTAGTTTTATGCTTTAGCACTGTCGGAACAATATTAGATGCATTAATGAGCATTTGCTGGATTTGTTTCTGTCTTTCCATGACATCGCTGTATGCTTATCGTCGTCACTTCCACGCCAACGTCATTATATATACACCAAGTGGAATAAATTATAATTCATTGTGAGCATTCTATTAATCTTGTTTTTGTTTCTCAAGAAGTCGTATGCGAACGTTTTTATCACAAATTATGCTGCCCAACGACCGTTCATTTCGATTTATATACGATTGAAACTTCTTCAACAGAAATGTCTTGACTAATGATGTTTACGAATATCTTATCGCTTTCGATGTTGACTTCAATCAACAATATTTTGCAGAGGACGATGCAGGGAGAGGAGAATATACCTAGAATTTTGGGGGTAGAGGGAGAGAAAGATTGAGGAGTGAGAATGGGAGAAAATATCTTGTCATCGCCCAGGGCCATAAAAAGAGAGAACGGCCGGTGAATAATCGATACCTGATGAAATGATCTTGTAAAGGGATATTTCGGTTGGGTTTTTGTTTGTCTTATGCCATTGGAATTTTCCTCTACAATATTCTGTTCACAAAATATTTATATGATTAGGTGAGAATAAAAGTGGGAACAGCCAACCGTACTCATAAGTAACGTTCCGTTGTTGGAGAATGTGTAAGAAACTGGGACTTTGATGGGTTCTATGCTTTGAGAGACACTTCGGAATTATGTCTCATGTGGAAGTAGCATAAGTTCAAAAACACGGCCATTCCCATTTTTGTTCTCAATCACTTCTGACCCGACATGTTGGCATTGTGTAAAATGGGCTAGACACATCATAGAAAATAAATATTGGCTTCGGTACGCATTAAAATCACATCGTCTGAGCATTCCATTCGAATATTTTAGGCGATAAAATGCTATCGCATCCTAAGGTAACTGTCAGTGATTGTTTAAGATTCACGCAATGAATTCGATTTGCCGCAGCATACTAAACAAACCCAATAAAACCATCTACCAATTCGTCATAATACCACAAATAAAAAGAACAATCAAAAGTCCATAATTTTTGGCATATCCATTTCGAATGATTTAAGAGTTTCGATATAGAGCTAAAAACATGAATGAAAACCACTTACCGTTTCTCGACACATCTAATTCCACCAAATTCTCGAAATTCTGTAGGTCAGATGGCAATCTCTTGATTTCATTGTCACTCAAGCCCAATTTGCGCAAACGATGTAATCGAAAAAAATTCTGAAAATAAACAAATACCCATTATAATCATGTTGAACATATTGTGAAAACAGACAAGACAAAAATGCGCTCATTATTTTCGGCGACGAAACGACGTCATTGAAAAATCTATACATATATTGATGGTTCACGGTGCAATTACAGTGCAATTTTCGATTCGAACGAGAAAAATCGATTGGCAAATGTAAGGAACATTCTCATTAGCACAAATCACCATGAATTCATTGAATGTGTCGAATTTCATAGCTATATTCGAAACGAGAAAAGAAAATAGAAGAAACAAAAACACATCTCCAATTTGCTCACATTTCGTTCAATATACGAAAAACAAACAACTCAATCTGTAATCTGTTTCGACCGAGACAGTAATGAAAGACCATGTGCACTAATTCACCGCCGCCACCACCACCACCGCCAACAAAGAGGAATAACAATAATTAGCAAGGCGAACAAACAAATTTCAGCGAATGCGTGTTCGTCTTTGGCTCACAATAATGTGTGTGTGCAATAAACGAAATGTAAATACGATTTAATTTCTAGTGCTATTTTTTTATTGTTCTTTTTCGCTTTGTTCGTTTGTTCTGAAATCGTTTTTCTGATGTTGTCGTCATTGCTCGCAACAGCGCAAGGAAAATCGTATTCGTATTTTTCGCGAAACAAAAACTTCGGAAAAACATAATGAGAAAAAAAAGAAACTTTTCATGCATTCGACATTTTGAATGTCAAAGTTCTGTTGAATGAAATCATGAACACAGAAAACCGATTGTCGTGAAAGGTTTTCGTGTTTGTTGCAGACACATTTTCAACGCCAACAGGTGGCTGTTTTGAAACCGATAAATGAATTTGCGCTCGCTTAACTTTATGTGTCGAATGCATTTCAATTTTGTAAATAAAGTTTTGTCAATTTACAGCTCGATGAAAATTAAACGAATGTTGTAAATCAACGGGCTGAAAATTATGCGCTTACGAAATAGAAGAACAATTGAAAACGAAATGAGAAATTTCCATTCGTTGGTATATTAAAACAAACATCGAGACTTGGCATTGTTTATACCGGAAACCGAACCAAACATTGCGGAATGCCGAACTCAACGTGAAATGAGGCATTTCAAAATCATTTAACCGGAATGGGACACACACGGGTTTTGTTAAACGAAAATCAAACGCTTCTCGATTTATTATTGATTCAATACACCGTTGAACTATTTTTTCGATTAGCCGCAGCGGCAGTGACATTTTGTGCATCGCAAACTCGTTTCTCCCATCTCATTATTTCCCATCGACAAGGGAAAAGGAACGGGAAAAATTTGTTGTGCTTTTGTTTGATTATTATTCGCAATAAATAAAATGAGAATGCTATGTATCACAGATTCGTGAGACAGTTTGGCTGTTGTCGAAAGTTCCGACGGTTTATTTTGTGTGTGCTGCGCAGCGAAATTCATAAATAACACACAGTTTGCACGAAACTGCAAGCATCAGCATCCAAGTTTAACTATTATTATTATTTGAGTTGAACAATTTAATGCTATACGTGTCTTATCTACGAAATGCAAGTTAATTGGATCGTCGAAACACACACATATATAAATATATATTCTCACAGTGTGCACTGACACACGACGCACACACACCGAATAACAATAACACAGTTCAACAGCTGAACATCGAACAAAAGAGCGCACATCTTTTGCTGTCAACCGAACCGAAAGAGAGAGAGAGACGATTGAGTTTATAGTTGATTTTTACCACGAAATTGTTCTCGTCCAAAATGTACACGTATACAATCGAATTTTAACAAGAACAACGATTTTCACATACACATCTGAGTTAACTTCGAACCTTAATTTTATTTTCGCAATAAACTGTGTGATACTTGTGCGAAAACAAAAAGTTTCCATTCGTTTTTGTCGTAATTTTCTCCAATTGCAATTCAAAGTTGTGCAAAAGTTTAACAACTACGAAACCACTCGAAAGATTTATACAAGATCAGATGGCACTTTATGTTTTTTTCTTCTTCTCGAAAAGTGCAATGTGCAAAATGAAGAGAAAAAAAAAGCAACAACCGATTGTTGAGCGAGAGGCAAAAGTGAGAGAAACTGGCAGCACTGAGAGAATAGACAGAGAAGTGAGATTACAAGAACAAAGCAATTCACAAGAGAATACGATTTGCATACGAGGAAGTGAATGTTGTATTATTCAGACGTCATCAATCTGGAAGGTTGGAGAATGATTTAAGAAGCACCAGAGTGACACATATTCAGCTCGAGTTTCAGCTATGCGGCTGGTCCATTGTTTCCACATTGAAAAGCATAATGGATACATTCATTTCACCAATGCATTTTAAAATCGGGATAAAAGTACCACCACCAGCCCGAAGCAGTTTTTTACATTTTATTTTCAACCATAAAAATTATGAGTTTCCGCTTCATTCCATTTTTAATTAAAAATCCATAATGCTTCACCATCATCTTGGCGATATTTTTCTCTTTGGCGCTATAATGTGTTGTCGCAAATCAATGAAAACTGTATTCATTCAAATCGATCGATATCATCGTGTCACACATTTGATGCAATGTGAATTATTTTCTGCATCAATTTCATTTTGCCTGCATCAATTTGCAAGTCTACAAAATGATGCCAACATAAATCATGAATTTCGGTTATTAAATTATCAAAATCATGGCAGTATTTATCTGGTTCTCGCCCGCACTGTCACTGTCGCTCTTATTAATTAGCCTGATTGCATACCAATTTGATATGTGTGCAATCGAATGAATAAAGTTCAAAAAACGAATACAATTGCCGCCCATTAAACACAGATCCATTTGGCAAACAGATGCATAGTGTACGTATATTATTATAGATAATTATCTATCATACATGATTAATTCCAATGAAACGGCCCCTACAAATGGAATCACACTTTTTTTATCAATTTTCTCTGAAACATAGACTATGATACAGAAATTTGAATAGCGAATCATTAAAATACCCTGTATGCGTGTATAAATCGCAAATAAATGCGATATTCAATCGAAAAATGCATGATTTAAAAAAAGGTAATTTTTTGTTATTCTTGTTTTAGGTCATTTTACACAAAATTCGCATTCAAACAGAAATGGAACGAATTCATTGCACGACCACCTACATTTTCGGTTGACGATTGACGTCATAACCATGGCAGCGTGCACGAGAGACTATGAAAGAGTGCGCCAAATGAAATTTATCAACAAAAAGTCCAAACACATGGTTCACATTATAGCGTGAATTGAAATAAACGAAGTTATGTTTCGAGGAAAATTTTATTTTTAAAATTCAAAAAAGAAAATCATCTCAACTGATGTATATAACATCAATTCGGATCTGTGAACGAACGAGAGAGTCGCAATATTCTGACCGTTGCTAAGACTGATGAGTGATTTAGAATTTAAAGTGGCATAAATCAGAGAAAAATTGGGTCATCGCAATGAATTAAATGGTAATTGTTTTATCGAAATGATTTTCCGTTTGATTCATTCCATGCCGTTGGGTTATTTGCTTTGAAAATAAAAAGAGGTGAAAATAACGACTCCCCCTGAGATGTCGATTTACTAAGAATACAAATTTGTTCAGTCTGTTATAACTTTGCTAACAAACGAAATCGAATTGAGAACATTTGAAGCGGATAAATCAGTTACGGTCTCAGTCTCAAGTGACCGTGGATTATTTAAAAATGAACGTGTTGAAATGCTAAGCTTCATACTGATGAAGCATATCATGCGGCACGATTACATCTCGCTGCGAATTTCAATTTTTTTTATGATTTCAAAAGGGGAAGTATTTACATTGGTACGGTGTTTATGTATGAATCATTTCAGATTCACTTGACCAATTAATATCATGTATTATTTTCCACTGTGGTGTACATACAAAAAGTGTGTTTGTAGTTTTCGTTTCATTCGTGGGGCGTTGAACGACAGCGGAGATGACGACGAAATTTGCGATAAAAATACAGTGACATCAACAATCAGGATATACACCAAAATGAAATACACGCACAATCCAAAAACTCATTGGTAAATTATGATACAAATGGAAACGTAAATATACCTTTATCATCGTGCTGTATTTACAAGTGATGATATATTAAACACACACAAAATCACATGCTCGCAAATTCTATAGATACGGAGACAAATTGTACTTATTTATAAAGTAAATATCAAACCGAATGTTATTGCGATTTGCGACAACATGCACCCAGGTCCAATTTTACTTCCATAGCACGCGAATAAATATTTCGCTTCTCAATTAAATGATAAAAATGCGGATGTAGTAGAAAATCTTTCGAGAATATCAAACACACAAACTGTTTGAAAATGATTGAAAATTGTTGCTGATAAAAACAAGCATCAATATTTCTTGTTTGCCATGGCATCAGGTTGACAACATCGTCATACATTGATTGGAGATTAACTGTGATATATTTATATATGCGTGACCACTTCGAAACTGGTGAGGGTCGCATCATCGCTTGTGCAATTGTTTGAAAAGGTCACAGTTGGAATTCAAATGGAAAATGCAATTTTTGTGCTCAGCATTTCCACCGATGATGACTTATTGTTTTATTAAATGGAAAATGGGCGAGAAAAAGTAAAAGTTGAAAAGCAATTTTCTCCTATGCAAACATGGCATAAAGTCTATATTGACATTGAAATCGAATCGTATTCTCTTATTCTCACCATTCTTCTGGTATTTCGGTATTTACTTTGAAATGTATATTTTATGAATTTCAACGGAAAACATAAACGAAAAAGTATTAAATGTATTTTATATCATTGTTGGAAGCGTCAATAAAAAGTGCTTAATGAAATGAAATGCAGCGCGCAAAATACAGCAGAACGTGACGGTCAAATGGAAGGCGTCGAGAGTTCGGTCGCTGAGACTGAAAATGGATTATTATGAAAATGATGCACAAAATGTACAGATGGGGATTTGTTGAGTACGGTTTTTATGACACCGAAATGAAAGACATTTAAAAAAATGTATACTTTAATGGAGAAAGATATGAAACACTAACGGAGGTAAATACCCAGTTGATCAATTTTAACCATAATAATTTTCTACGCTTTTTTATCACTTTAACGAGAAAATTAGAATGTAAATTGTCAGTATGCCATTGTATCTGTTGTTTTTTTTTTCTTTAATTTTTGTGAGCTTGGTTCTAGCGCGCTTATTAACAGCACACAGCGCAATATGGAATGGATTTTTTTGTATATTTGTATGCAATGCCAAGAAAATCGGGTCATAGAATTTCCATCATTGCCAAGTGAAGCAATGTTCGTTTGTTTGTGGAATCGCGCGCTGTTTTTGCTCACCTCTGCAGTGCAACCAACACAATCCTAGCCGTTCTGTAAACAGACATCGACTTTTTCTTGCAAACCGATTTTGTTTGTTGGTTCTTCTTCGATATTTAGATGGCAAAAGAACTCAACGGATCGATATCAAGCTAGAATGGAATTAATTTTCAACCCAATAATGACACTCCGCCTACAAAGCGAGCGCGAGCATTTTTTTTCCGCTTCAAAATGAGTTCAAATCAAATTGCATTATAGTTTACTTGCACATTAAGTCAATGGATTTTACTCATGGCAACAACACCAGCCACAATGACTGTCAATACTGTCAATATATCCACAGGCCAATATGACAATACGTTAAATAAATTTGCTCAAAATATTTTGTAATACAGAACGTTCGTTGAACATGAAAAACAATCGAATATCGATAGTATAATTAAAATTGCTCGTTTAATTGGAACTGATTAAGTGGCATATGCATGTATGTGGACTCGAAACATTTCGACCGAAAACAAAGTGGCTTGACCATCAATTTTTTTATAAATATACAAACAATTTTCCAATTAAACATTCCAAAATGATCTGCTTCAAAAAAAAAGTCAAAAATGTTCAGAATTCGAAATTGTTTATTCGCTCGTGGAAAAGTAAACAAGACTTATTGCTGTCTCACAATTTGGGATCGGTTTCCATGTGATTCTCATTAAACCAGTTGATTCTAGTCCGTTGAGCAATTATGAGAGTTTGTACATAAAATGTAAATTGTTGGTCAAATTTAAAGCAGTGAGCTCTCACTGTAACTGGATGATGTTTTGATTTCATTTGCAAAATATTCAATGCAATAAAAAAAAATGAACCAAAATACGTAAATGTGTTTATTTTAACTAGCAAAATTCGTCGAAATAATGCGCATGTTATTCATTTATTTTTTTGAAAAGAACCAAAACTAAAATAAATTCCAATTTGAATGTAGTTCTTACCTTTGGCAGCTCTCTGAGGTGATTTGCATCGAGCAGTAGCTCTTCGAGGCTTCGTGAATAGCGGAGAATTTCTTCGGGCACATTTTGTAGTGAACAATGTCTTTTATCCACGAATTCAACTTGGCGATTACAGCCTTTAAATATCGGAATGCATTTGAACATGTTTAAACACTGTTTTTCGTTTTCACAAACGTTTATTTATTTTTTTATTTTCGTCTATATTCTTTCGTTTACTTTATTTTCCGTTCGTTTGTTGTTATGTCGGTTGTGGTTTTAGCTGCATGAAAATGATAATGTTTTAACATTAAGTCGATGCCAAATGAATAAAAACAAAAAAAAACCAAAATAAATATAAATAAATTCGAACGCTAAGCTCGCGAATTAAAAACACTCGGAACTACTTATGAAATTGATATGTGTTGCATTGGCATTTGGACACATATACATATATACATTTTTTTTCCTAGTTTTTTTTCCCGATGACTAATAACCGTGGTGATCAAATAACTCGCACTTTTTTATATATATTCTTCTTCATATTCGTTTTGATGATGGGGATATATACAAAAGCCAATTAATTCAACAATCGAATTCGATTTTCATGAAGAACACACAGACAGACACACATTCGCTGCACAAAAAAAATGAAATCACCTGACTGTGTATTTTATTTGTGGGTCACAAGCGACGACAATTGGCTTGATATTTGGACGAAAACATAGAAAACCGATAAAATACACCCGTCGATATTCATCATCATTTGAATTTAAATTTCTTATTCAAATGGTGCGTCTCCTTGAAAATTAACAATACAGTCTCATTGTTATTCGTTCATTTTGCCAAACAAAAAGGGAATATTTCTCTTTTTCTGAAAAAGATACGCAGAGCGAGTGAAAAAAACCTCAGACAGACAGCAAAGGTAGTGAAAAAAAGACAGCAATTAATTCAGTTAGCACATTTTTTTTTATCGGTGGTAGTGACAGAGAACAAACAGAAGAAGAAAAAAACCGAGCGAATAACGAGCTCGTTTTGGTTTGTTGTGATATTGTTGGTTTCGTGTATGGAAATAGAAGAAAGGCATGTAGCTTGAAAAAAAGACGTATTTCACATTGTATATACAAGTTTTCGTGTATATAATGTGCGATTCATGTTACACAAACATCGTTGAACGCTATGCACGTTGACGACGCAAATGTGGATGTGTTACTTCTACTAAGAACTATTCCATCTCAGCACGCATCGAAATTGAATAAACAAATCCACGGAAAATTATTATCATTTTCTGTCAAAAATTCATTTAGCTTGCTTATTACGGTTGCTTTATGGTTTTATGCGAAAGAAGCGCGCTATTGGCACACCCTGTTTTCGTTTATTGTTTTTCTTGCGTTTTTACAAAAAAAAAATAAAAACAGTTCACAGCACATTGAATGAACAATTTTGCTTCATTTAATGAATCAACTTGGGATTGAAAACGGTGCATGGTTTTCCTACTGAATGCGATTTAATTGTAACGTAAATTGAGTTCACGGTGGTTAGTGTGGAGACAATGCAATACATATTCTCAATTTTTGCTGTTTTTGTTATTCGGTGCATTGAAAAACGTACAGTAATAGAAATATACACACACAGAGAAAGAGAGAAACATCGTCAGTCAATGTGGTGTCGTTGTCAACGTAGTAAATAACATGCACAATGGTTTTTGGATATGGCATTCGAAAAACACGCACGAAGCACAAGCAAAACAGAGAACTATGAGAGACATTTGACACGACGTGTGCAACTGACACACACACACATAGATAGGCTCTCTCGTAAAACAACGACAAAATAAGAGCAAAGAGCAAAAATATTCTTTTGAATCGCATATGTACACGAGCGCAACTCTAAAAACGATGAAACAAAGAGGCAGATGAACAAAAGGGAATTTAGCAGCTGAATGAAATTGCTTAAAAGCCGAACGAATAAGTGATAATGATGAATAGAGAAAAATATCGTCACAAATTGCAATTGTATATGTCGCAGCCACAAATACACAAACGAATCTGTTGCGACGGCGGTGAAAATTATGAAAATAAATATTTATATTCACTTCAATTTTTAATGTACACACAAACACACAGCCCCGTAACCGATGTAAATTCAATACACGAAATTCTTTTATATCGTTCATTAAGTGTCTCCAATTTAGATTTCTTTATATTGTATTTTTTCGTTCACTATTTTCGTCATTTATTATTTTTATTATTATTTTTTTTCTATTCTTCTTTCAATCGAAATATTTTGATTTCATAACCAACAAACGAAGACGAATCAACAAAAAAGACGAAAAAAGAAGATGAAAGAATAATATTGCTCATTTTCTTTTGCGGCGTTGAATCATTTTTTGAATTGACCAAACCGGTTGCTTTTGTATCGGTACTGAAATCCAATCTACACTTGGCCACTGCTCTTTGCCTTTGGTCGCAATGTAAAGCAAAGAACACAGAGAACGAACTCTCTGAAGAGAGATACACATTTATGAAGAAAACAAAACTGAAAAAAAAACTACACAACAAACTATTCACACAACTATTTACATATATGCATGAATGCTGCTGCGGTCAATTAATTCTCTTAATTCTGTCGTGTACACACACTCTCTACTGTAAATGCGTATGTATTATTCACAGTTCAACTGCTGGCATTCTTCTAAACGAATCAGATTTTTTTTTCCTGCAACACACAAATACTACACAATTTATTTATTTTGTCGATAGCATTTTATTTTGCACAATTCATCTATTTTTCATCGTCTTTGGATACAGAACAAATTTCAACTCCAATAACAACCGAAAAAAAATATACACAATTTTCCTTGATTTTCACTCACAATTCACAAAAATTTTGCGAATTTTTGATTCGCGCAATTTTCTGTCGGTTCGCCGATATTCAATTTTGGTTTCGGTTTTTGTTTTTGATGTTAATTTGATTGAAACAAATAAAACATTTGTCCGATAGAAGGAGAGAAGAAACACAGAGATCACACAAATGTTCGTCCGGACATTTTCGACTCCAATGATTGAATGTTAGTTTCAATACCTGTGCGCGGCACGTAAAACGATGGTAACTGGTTTTGTCTATGTAATTGTGTTTGTATACTTGTTTCGTACTATGGATACAACAAAAACAACAACCAATTCGCCTCGTGTACACGGAAATCTATGCGATGTGGTATTGGTGCTATTGTGTATGTGTGCGTTTGCATGAATGTGGCATTTACCAATGCATGGATATGTATATATTGCCCGATGAAAAACTCACAGTAAACATTCGACGGTTGCCTTGTGAACAAATCACTCAAACATTTGGCTTTTCTGTGTGAAATATACTTAAGCGCACACTCATTGCGGAGAAGCACAAACGCGGGAAATCAGACTCTATGTAATAACATTTGGTACTCGATGGCTGATCAACATGACAGCATAGCGACGCTCATGAACATGATGGTAGAAAATAAATGTGAATGATTAAAAAAAAATTCGACGCAAAATTAGTTGAGCAAAAAGGTGGAAATCAATTTTCTTTTTGAATCCGCAAAATCGGTGTTTGAGTGAAAAATAACCGCGCCAATTTAACCGAAATTCAATTTCAATCCGTTGAAACCTTATATATTCCATTTAAATGCCCAAGTTGTTCTCGTATTTGCCACACTCACAGTCAGCGCCATGTTAGATGTGACAGAAACTACGAAAGAAGTGAGGTAAAAAAAATTATAATCGCCAGTGAAGTCGTATGTGTTGTGTGTTGCGTCAAGATCAAAATAATAATAAAACATTCCCGCAAAAATGTTGTGCATATCATTTATCAATTGCAACAGTGAAATTGTAAACAAACAAGTGACAACAAAGTGTTTTTGTAAGTCGAATATACCGTAAATGAATCGCATTAATTATTTTGCAAAGCAAAAAAAAATTGTGTGACCCCACATTCGTGTGTGAAATTTAAAGAGACTCCATCAACTTAGCAACTAGTTTCGTTCTAGTGATTTCGATAAGTGTGTGTGAAACATATTTTTTCAGATTCACAACTTTAACCACCAAATGAAAATATTTGTTGCGGCATACCAACATTTTATTGTCGTTGCAAATCGATTGTTTTAAAAAATTCGATTCATAAAACGATTGAAAAAAAAACGAAAGAGAATTTTTTTTTGAGTTTATCTAACAAGCATTGAATTTTGCGTGCGATTGTACGCAACCTGGTGATAATATGAAATACGTACTCTCGTTCATCGAGTTCATTTTTTACATAAAACGCTTGCCCATTAAGTTTAGTTTAATACAAGAAACGCGCAAAGCAAAATACAAATAAAGACGAACAAAAAGAAAATTTGGAATAAATTTAAAAACAAAAAAAAAAGAACGAAAAAAAAAGAAATCTAACCTGAGAATAATCGCTACCAAAGAAGGGGCAAAGAAAACATTTTAATACGTAAACTAACATAGATGCTGTCGCTTCGTAATGGAGGGGTATTGTGAGCCATTCACAAAGCGGCACACATTCATTGAGTTAATTTTTTATTGTGACAGATGAAAACGTAAAGAGAGTCATTGACAAACCGAGAGTCACTTCGACCAACAGCATTTTGTTTGTCTCAGTTTACTTCATTTATTGCCATTCAAAATCTAGTTTCTAACGCATTTTTCCTTTTATTTGTCCATAAGAGAATTACCATTAAGTTAATTATAAACTACTAAACAAACAAACTTTCTTTATGTGATTTAGAAATGAAGTATAACGTAATAAATTATTGGAACAATGCACGACATACACTTATTTTTGAAAAAATTAACGGATTATTTGGATGCAACTACGGCATCGGCCGATGAAATTCGGCAAAAATTCACCAATCAACTGCCACAACATTTCGATTTCAATCAACTTATCAACAATTTGACGGAAATATGCACCGAATGTCGATCGACACGAGAATCAAATATTTTTGATAACACCCATGACAGTTGGGAGTATTTTTCGAAAATTATCTCCATTGAGCATCTGATCGCGTTTTTCACGGGACTCATTGAGCTCACGTCAAACGATGAACATGGATTTAAACATAAAAAACTCGGCATTTGTGTGTGCCGAACATATGTGCTATTACTTACATCGCCTGGTGCGAAAATTTTCGGTGCATTTCAACCGGATTTATTGCGCAAAGTGTTCAAGTATTTTGAAATTCTAAAACAATTGAGCAATTACAATGACAACGAACGAGTTCAAGTACAAATGATGATCATTATGTTGCTGGAAGAATTTCAATTGTATTTGAAACATGTATCGTTCGATGAGTATGAAGATTTACAAGTGAAATTTGTAGAAACAATCGGTTCGATTATGGAATTTAATCATGAAAAAGGATTTTTAAATAAATGTAAGTATTTTGTGTGATTGACAAGCTGTGATTTACTTTGTTTACATAACCTTAACCTATCGTTTTCAATGTGCGTTTTTTTCCTATTTCTTTCTTCTTCTTTCGTCATTTTTACATAAAAGATTCATTTCAAATCCAAGAATTGTGCTACACAACGCTTGAGAACACATGCTTACCAATTCACAATACCGACATCACATCCAGTTTGGCGATTGTGCTGAATGGAACGGCTTGTTTAACACGATTCAATCGACCGTGTTCGGGATCAAGTTTAAAACCAAAATACGCACTCATCACCGATTGGTTCATCGATATGCTCAAACATTATCCACGTCAAACCAGCGACACATTGAATTGTTACATTCAAGCCATTCTTACCGACTCCGATATCACGACGAACAAAGATCTATTGAGCCGATATCTGGATATATGTGCACAATATGATGCGGCCATGGTTCGCATTTGTGGACAATCAATATGCGCATTTTTACAAAAATTATCCATGAGTAAGCATTTTGTTTTTCTTTTCTTCCACAACAGAACGCGATTCTCAACACTACTACCAAATCTCAAATTTAAGCAATGTTGTTGCAAATGTGTGACGATTACTTTGCTCTTAAACTATACATATTTGATTTTCATTATATGTTTCCATTACTTCCATTACGTTCCATTACATATTGATTAATTTCCATTATTTCCATTCTTTTCTTTGTGATTAACCCTAGGCAAAGAGTCATCTCACCGAACAAATTGTGTCGAATTGATTTCGAGAATGTTAGTGATGAATACCAGCTGTGATTGGGAACTGTTTCGCTCGGAACTGCCGAGAGAAATTGGTAAAATACCAAGGGAAATTAATCTACTTCGAATTTTACTGCAGAAAATCTACGATTCAAATAATGTGGTGGCAATGAAAGCGGTCAATGCATTTTTGAAAGTCATTGCCGACGGAAATATACGGTGCAAGGAAATTGTTCGGGTAAGATAAGAAGTTTCAAATTCATTCTTTTCATAAACAATCCTTTTAAATAAGCAAATGTGTTTCTTTGTTGTCGCAGAAATGTTTTTTCGAACCACAAAATGAAAGCGAGATAAACGCAACCAGTGAATTGGACAATATAAATGAAAGTTCTGATTTGATTGCAACACAAAATGATAATCAAAATGATGAGGGTGAAAGAGAAAACGGAACAGAGAGAGATGGACCAGACAATGAGAATGCTGAAGATAAAGATAGCGGTGACGATAAAGATCAGGGTAATCGAACAGACGATGATAGCGCATCAGATAGTGGCGTTAGTCGAAAATCAGAAGCAATTGATTACACCAAATCGACCGAATTCAAAGCGCTCATCAATGAAATCAAACATAATCTAATATCGGCGACACGAATACAATTGAAGAATTTGTCGGCATTGGTTCGTCGGGTGGCTGTTTTATTGCTTGATTTTTTGGGCACAACCACATTGGACATCGATGAATTGCTCACGTCTTATGTAAGTATTTGATCATCTATGTTTTGCATCGAAATTCAATAGATTTTCAACAAAATTTAATATATTTTTTTGTCCAATAGGAATTGCGTCAATTATTCATCGATCAATCGCAATTGGTTCGCCGTCAAATGGTGCTATCATTGGATAAGATATTGAACTCCCGGCCGTCAAATGAGGCTGCAATAAATGCATACATTAAAATTATTCTGGATCTGGCCAGCGACACCGATCCAAAAGTAATGGAGACTGTTATCGAGAGTTTCAAGCGAAATGTATTCGATAAAATTGAATTTTACGAAAAATCACCGTCACTTACCCATGTGTTTCCATGGCGTCTATTGAAGAGCATGTTAAATTGCAAAGATTCGCCGGACTTTCGGATATCCGTTCAAAAATGGATGAACCGAAACTTGCTCAAGTACGACATAACACATTTTGATTACTTTTATTCAATTCTAGTTTATTTTTACATTCAAATTGTTTTACAGTGCAAGAACGCTGTCAAAAATTGAAACACATTTGGACACAAACAATGCAACCGAAGCTTGGATTTTATTGGCCATCGTAGCGCCAAACATAAAAGGTCACAATCCAGAAAGGGTCTCGAAATTGTTACTATCAAATTTGAAATATGATATGGTGTGTATTTAAATATTTGATTAAATTGGAGATGAAATCAATGTTAATGTATTTTTTATTACAGACAAACACCGTCGAAAATTGTTACATCCAATTGGAGGTGCTGTCGTTTTGGCTACAGTATTTGAACAATCCATCAAAGAACGAGATAAAGCGTATCATGACTGAAACACTCGAAACTGGAAGCTTGCGGCCCAGAAATATCAATCGTACATTTGGCATTTGCTATAAATTGAGCGCCGAATCGGGTGATCGAGATCGGAAGCATTTCATTGCAAAGCTTCGAAATCAATGCGAATCATACATTTCTGCCAATCAAAATTCAATGTTTGTACAGAATTTATGTGATGACCGTTTCATTAGCTATGTGTATTTATATTCGGAAATTGCCGGTGCATTGCAGTCAACGCTACATCCGGATATCATCAATTTTTTCTTTTCGTTTTTGCACGTTGTGGGCAGCAAAACATCACTCACAGGTAAAAAGCCCAGAACTAACGTTTATTCTGCAGTTTGAATCGGTAACATTTTTTAATCCATTAAAGACCATTCTAAATCATTGTCCTTTTTTTTGTGCTTTCGTTTAGTTCAAAATGATTCGATGCTGTCGGATAAGGTGAATTGTATATTGAGCGTATTGACGGGTCTTTCATCGTTTAGCCAAGAAATATGTGCCCGATTTGTGCCGCATCTTGGTAAAATTCTCCGATCAATCGATCACAGTGAAGTTTCATTCACAGCAATCAAGTGCTTGGGATATTTGTGCAAAAAGTAAGTGGATCGCATCCAACTGATTGAATCATAAAAAAAGTAACATTTTTCCTATTTTTTCCACCAGAAATACATCGGTTGTCGAAACAATAGTGCCATACATTCTGATGAAAACGCAACATCATTACAGCAACATTCGGGAGTTTGCAATGAAAACATTGGCCGCACTTATTTTGGAAGATTATTTAAAATTTCGTGGCACATTACTCATATACATTTTGGCCGGATTATTGGATGCGCAGCGGGAAATCAAAGAATTGGCTGTGGAATTAATCATGAAATACACATTGGAAAAAAGTGAGATATTCTTGCGCACCTGTTTGGTTGAGTGTCCGTTTGTGTTCAATGCTTGCCCATGCTTTGGCCAAGGCAATTCGGCACTAAACCGATCAAGTATTCTCAAAGGTCATGCAAAGACGGCCGCCCGTGAATACATCTATCAATATTTGATACGAAAAATTGAACCGGTCTATCTGTACATGTACTTTGGCAATATGGCCCGATTACATGAATTCATCCAAAAAGAACCGTCAATCGCTAAATCAAGCGACTTCCAAAATGCCATTCATGATTTTTTATTTATTTGCTCGGAAATTTGTATTGTAAATGAAAAGCAAAAGAAAAATCTGGAGAAAATTATTAAAGAAAGTCACGATGGTGAAGGTATTGCAATGAATGACGACGACGATGCCGCGATGAACGAACCGAATCCGGAAAAAGCGGTCGAGACTGAGAAGAGGGGTCGAGGTGGAAAAAAGAATCAACCAACATTGAAACAGTCATTGGTTGCGGTTGAAAAAATTGTGCCTTTAATATCAAGCATCGACAAAAGTTTACGGTCGATGAATCAAACAATGTTTTCACCAGTATTGGATAAATTCTGTACAAATATGTGTATACACTTTGAATCACTATTGGAATATGCACAGCCACGTGATTTTTGGGCGCCATTCTTGAAAAAGGCGAAGAAACCAACGGCAACAGCAACAACACCGAGACAATCAAAGAGATCAGCGGCCAAAGTTGTCGAAGTAATGCAACCTCCGTCCACACCTTCGCGATCTGCAACACCGAAACCGAATAAAAGCAAAGAAAATGATAGCGGCCGCTTCACACTTGACGATGATGATGACAGCAGTACGTCGAAGCGAAATACACCGGGCCCATCGAAGCGGTCATCGTCAAGAGCATCAAATCGAACCATTTCACAAGCATCCGAAACAAGCATTTCAAAACCATCGAAAAGGGGCAAAAAACGATTGCAAACAGTTAGCAGCCAAGATGAATCTGATAATGAATCGATCTTTTCTGAATTGAGTGACATGACCACAGCATCACAAAAACGAAAAAATACTCAAGACAAACCAGGTCCAAGCACAAAAAAAGCTAAAAAAGCACCGCCAACACCAAAGACACCGGCATCGAGAAAATCATCAAGACGATAGAAAATCACATACTCTTCACATTTGATTGAATATTATTTAACATAACACATGTCATTTCAAACACGAAACACGATTTATATCGATTATATCGACTCCACGAGATATTCACCAGACAGTTCAAAATAAAAACTTAACTAAAGTAACACACATGACAGTATTCAATATCCCAGACTCAAATATTGTTCTAGTTTATTTTTTAATGACAAATTCATTTGGATTTTTCTTTTCTTTGTCACTTGTAAATAATGCTCCATTTAAGTACATTAATCAATTTTCATCCGAAAGGAAAGGAAATCTATATCAAAAAAGATTTGTTTATAAGTTTAATTATAAACATTTAAAAATTAAACAAATACTTGTACAAAATCATTGAAATGCTTTTTTGTGTTTCACACCAGTGAAAAGTTGAACAAAAACAAAATTAATGTAGAGACGAAAATAAACAAAAATTACTTTTTTTAAATAAGAAATTTAAAGTTCAATGTCTTTTCAATTTTCTTAAAAGAATCGTACTTATTGTCTGTTTTGATGAAACATTTCTAGTATGCCGTGGCGCCTCGTTGCAGACTTTGGTATATTCTTTAGGAAAAAAGGGGGATAATTCAGTGGAGCATGTCTTTTACTTAAATTTGAATTCACAAGAAAACTAAATCTGACATTAGTTTTGCGTAAATGATCTAGATGAACAATACCCTAATATAAAGGATGCTTGACAAAGAGATAATGGAGGTCCCAATGAATATCCGAATAAAGCCAATAACAGCTTACGACGATTGTAGAAAAAGTATTGTTGTAATTTTGGAAGTAAACCAAACGTTCAGTTAGTTTCTATTTTTTTTTATTGCGTCATCAATTGCATTGAAATTGGTTAATATTATATATGAATCTTTTATAAGCACTTAACAGACATGCGCACTTACTACTCTCCCATGCTAGCTCCCATAGCACCCAGGAAGTTCAGAGCAGATAACCTTCTGGATAACATCATTTATTTGACATTTGAGCATTACAGGAAAGTTTGAATGTAAACATTATTTGTAAGAAAGAAAAAAGGTTGATTTTTTGGAAATGTATATGTACACTGTTGGAATTTTGAGAAAAGGCGAAGATTACTACTTGGACATTAAAAGCCCCGAATTTTCAACCGCAGATCTTGAGAATGCTTTAAAATCGGCCTTCACAGAAAATAACAAAACTATTCGAAACTTTTATATCGTAAACTCAACATTTTTGCTTCCTCCACATTCACATACATACTTTATAGGTTTCACGAAACGGAGCACAAATCACTAAGATACTGTGTCAGGTTGCAATTAAATCGAAATGAAACAGTAAACGGTACGCGAGTGCTTAATCTCGAATCAATTCCTTATAACATTATCTAAAACATTGATTTTGTCACTGATTGGGAGGAGGATTTGGATATCAAAAGAACAATATCGAAATGCATGGTCGTATTTTATATGATTCCAAGCCAGGTGATGTCGTTATGGTCGAATTACTTAAATCGCGCTATGAAATTGCTTCGAAAGCAATGAAAAGATCCGATAATTTTGTTGTAAACTATTTACTAGCTGATTTTCTCAGTTCACAAAATGTAAAAACCTGGATCGATGCGGGTGTTCTAATTAAAAAGTCCATTTTTGATTAGTATAATGCTAATTTAACGAATTCTTCAACATATGATGGTTCCGGTTGCTCCAATTTATTCACTCCAGCATAATTTGCCGACGTATTGAAGGAAGTGCATGAAGATCAAGGATTTGAAAAGATTAAAAGCATGATGGTTCATCCAAACACAAATAGCATAACGAAGGGTCGTTTTCTTTTTTCAGAACATCGACATTTATTTGAAAATTGGCTCCATTACACCTGGTGTTTTTTCACTTATTGGATATGTTTATGTGAATAATTCACCATATTGCTTAGCGATGGTATGCAATAATTATTTAGGGACTAGAGACAAGTATTATGATTTACTGGAACAAATCATTTCTGAAATTACTACATTGATATCTTTGAACAAATAAATGTCATGCTTCCGTTTCTACCTTTAAACTTTAATGTAAGCTCAAAATTTTATGAATAAACTTTAAACACTTTTCAAATTAAACTATAGTTGAATCAATCTTTATCGCTTTTCATTTTTCAATCAAAATATAATTTTATACAGCCTTTATTTTATCTGTGACAAAATATAATTTTGATAAAATTTAATTTCATCTGCCAAAATAATTTAACTACAGAAAGATAATATGCTTACGTTTTTTTTATCTTATATATAAATTCAGTTGAAAATAAAAGAGCAACATATATTTTTGTATGGAGAAGTTGTTGTAATTAAATCTCGCCCGTTGATTTGGCTTTGTGATGAAAATTGCATCACGAAATTAGAATAATTTTTTTTTAATATAAATATAAAATTCGGTTAATTTCAATATATTTCATTTGATATCCGTTGAGTTCAAGAGGTAGGATTGCGTCCAGTTTAAAAGTCATTATAAAGAGCCTGATATGCAATGAATCCGTCTTGGTCAGAATGATTGAAAGTCAAACCGACACTTTTAATGCAAGCTGGTACAAAAACAATTGAACCTTCTTTCAACTCGAATAATTCACGTCCTTTAAATGCAGCCGAAGCGTTTCCCTTCAGAACAATGATAATGGAACCATTTGATCGATTTTCAATGCAATAGTTTTGAACGCTATTCGGCACTTTAACTTGAATAACAGCAAAATCTTTCACTGGCGGTTTGAATAGTTCCGAATATGGACCGACTGGAATGGATTGGAAGAATTTCTCTTCCACAGTATTCCCAGTGAAGTCAAGCATTTCCAACAGGGTTTCGACATCTTTGAATTTTGGCGTTAGACCAGCGCGGATGACATTATCAGAGCATGCCATGCATTCAATACAATCGCCAGAGAGGTAAGCGTGCGGAACATTGGCTGCCAAGAATATTGCTTGACCCGGTTTCATTTGGACAATGTTTAAGAAGAAAATCGACAATACTCCAATGTCATTAGGAAAATAATGGTTACAATGATCGAAGACTTTTGTTAAAGTAGCATCCTCCTTTCCTTCCTTGAAAATCGATGACAATTCGGCGATACATTTTACAATTTCTTCTTGGGGCGAGTGCATCAGTTTTGTGTAACACATCTTGATGGACTCATTGTTTGGTTGCTTTTGTAATTCATCAATGGTATCACCTCCAATCAAATCAGTCAACGGCTGATATTCTGCGGCGAAAAGACAATTCATAAAGCCATTTAAAAATCGAAAAGACAATTCATAAAGTTAGTAACATATGGTTAAATCATGAAAAATGAACAATAAACAACAAAAACAACAACAAAATTATTTGAAAAAAGCAAGAAAAGAATGATCAAGATAGAAAGGCATACAAATCTCACTTTTTAGCAAGTTGTAGAGTTCCGTTGGTGTTCGAAAACCGCAAAGTGCCAAGAAATCGGTTAACGCAATTGATATTTCTGGTTTGTGGTTTGGATCTTTATACACATCTGGTCGACTTGCATGTAATCGTTCGGCTTGTTCCTGTGTAGATAAAATGCGTTTAATCATCAATGAAAAATCCGCTTAAATATAACACCGATTCAATGAGTTTTCTGAAATTGTGTTAATAATTTGTACTTATCAACCTTATTCGGATGTACTTGAATGCTCAACGGTTTCGTGATGCTCAACACTTTGAATAAAAATGGTAAAGATTTTGTGCCGCCAATTGATGAATTGTCATTTTCGATAATTTTTGAAATTGACTCGCCGGTAGCTTTAATTAGCGAAGGGCCGCTAACATGATCTCCCATCCTATAATCGAAAAAATTCAGCAAACATGAAAAGTAGGAAGTATACCAAACAAACAAAAACTATACCATAGTTCAGCATATGGTGTTGATTCGTTAAATTCCTTTGCAAAATTCTCATCATTTTTTAGAGCTAATTGAGCAACTTTTGATTGACTACCAAGACTTCCCCAGTCGTATGTTTTTATATTTCCCAAAATTTCCATTTTTTTCCACTTGAAAATGGTTCGCACTGAATAAAAAATGAAGTCACGTTTGACAGAGAAAGTATCGAAAACTACTTTGTTTGTTTTGATTTGGTAAGATAGCCTACCGACACGCACAGAGTGAAAAGTGAAATAAAAGTCATTTAAATGTCATTCGCATTTGACAGCATACATTACGTAAAACGTTCTGTTCTAAATTGTTACGTATTTCCCCTCAATTTTGAAATTTCTCTGGATAAAAACGATTTACGCGCAAAAATTCGGTTTTACCGATTTTTATGTGAAAATAATTTATTTAAATGAAAAATAAAAATTTTTCGTGAAAAAAAAAATCAATATAAATGGCAAGTGCTCGCAAGTGGAGACGAATTGGCGAAACGGATGTTGAACCGGTTTCAGTAAGTTCATGATGCCGACAGTAAAATGCATTCAATTAATGAAAATATAACAGTAAAAGCAGTTAATTTAATAAAATCGCGGTTGTCATGTGGAAATTGGTAAATTTCTTTTAATGCATATAAGATGGAACTAAATCAAAATCGAATTTACTGAATATGTGATTATTATATTGGTGACGACAACAAATCCATTACAAGATAACAAGAGTCCGGAAACGAACAGATTCTTGGCGACAACATATTCACAGGCTTAATTCACACTGCATGCGTATGATAAACACGCTCGCGCCAGCACAAGCCATTCATTAACACCGCATGAATCTGGCGCGTAAATTAAGCATAAAGTATGTGTGAGCGTGGAACCGAAGTCCGAAACCAATCAAATTAAACCAATAAATCTGTTCAACATCTGTGTGCCGTCGTTCACATAATAAAAACCATAACACACATGATAATTGTGAAAACGGAACGGAATGGAGCGGAACAGAAAAAGGAAGAAGAATTTCATATGGTAAATAAATCCGAATATCCATTTTGACGATGTGTTTGTGTTAACAAAAATTCATCGTTTCCTATAAAAGAACTCGCTGCCATTCTATTCTCAGCCAGACCGAAATTGATGTGCTAAGCATAACGTTCGATTTCTCACAAGTGGTTAAAAAGCTAATTTTTGAATAAACAGAAAAAAAAAACCAGAAGAATTTAGTGAAAAGAGCACGCGATCATCACCCGACTGCGTAAAAAAGAAACAGGTAAGAAAAGAAGACGTAAAAAAAAAATCGTATAAAATATTGACAGTGGCAGTTGATTGATTGGTGATAACAAAACGGAAAGATACATAAAATATTTTAATAAAAACCAATAAATGCGATATAAATCGTTGTAAACCGGGTGTTTATAAAAGTGGCAGACAAAAAATGACATTGAAACCAAACAACATTTGAAAAGCTATCAACGACGTTTTTTTTTTCTTTCGTTTTTCACACATTCCGCTGCGGAGTTTGTGAAACTTGGGCCGGTTTTGCTGCTGCCGAATTTTTACGCATTGACTCATAGTAGATTGTGCAACCAATGATTTTTGTCGCGTGCGCATCGTTTTTTCTTTTTATTTTTCGTTTCATTCGCAAAATAAGTTATTCCATAGTACCGCGGTGTGTGTGGCGAACAGTACAATGGTTTGCTCTTCCGCGCAGCGCGATTTCAAAATACACCGACACACGAAATTAAGTGACTAAAATCCAATAAATAAGTCGATTACAAATCTTGAATCGCATTAATTGCCAATTACTTTGCATATCTCGTTCTTTTTTATCGTTCGCATTTAAATCGAATTTTTTTTTTCATTTCCACATGGCAAAAAACCGTTTTCAATTCACAATAACAGGTTCTTTTCGTTGCATTTTTCACATTGATTTAAAAAAAAAAACGTGATGTTATGCGGAAGTCATTGACAGTTGTACAAGCCAATTGAATTACTGAAAAGAAGAAAAGGATTTCTTTTACAATTGCTTTCTTGTTGACATTCTGAAGCGATTGCTTGCAAATTGTTTTTTCTCTCGCTTTCTTCAAAACATCGTTTAACGCCAGAAACCGCTTGATATCATTGAACATTTTCAAATCACCAAAATATCCATAATAATGAAGATATTTATAGCTTCTTAAGTATGATAAATGGATGCGGAAATATGGATGAGAGCGGAATTTTTTATTTATTTACGATTTTGGAGAGAGAGAAAAACATAGAATTTTTACTACATTGTATGATCAAACCTGTCATGATGAACAATTTTTTTTTATTAATTTTGTTTGTATTTACAACTGCTCGGAGAAATCGCGTGTAATCCAAATAAATGTATAGTTTGGAAGAGATAAAATTGAGCTATTTCCGTTTTGCATGACTTTATCAATACAAAAAAAAAAACGTGTACAATTATCATAAATCGATTAATTTTTGCTTCTAAGAACCTTTGCCATTGTGAATTTCACGTGTGTGAAAAGCGCAACGAACCTAAACCCCCGTTTATGTCATGAATTGAAAACCAGTTTCGATGTTGTTTTCTCTATCAACCAAATGGGATGAAGTTTAAACGCGTCAGAAAGTTCAATATTGCTTCCTTCCACCTTTTTGCTACACATATTTTGCATAAAAACAAAAAACTGAAAACAAAATCAGAGAAGAAGGCAAACAGATTATCAAAGTCCGTTGCCCAAAATTGAATGGCGTCACTACACCGTTCGCTTACGGTTTTGGCCTGAAGCAGCCCCACCTCGATCACAATCGATCTACAATACTCGCGATGTAAATGAAGCCATGACCACCAATTTACCACTAGATACAAACTTCACTATTTCGTTTTCGTTTGTTGACTCGTTATCACGGCAACTGATCGATCATTAACATTTTTGTGTATGATTTGCGGTACTTTCGTCAATTTTTTTTATTTTTTTAAAGCAAATTTAAAATAGTTTGTAAAAATATTCTTACTTTTTCCCCCAGTTTACTTACGGTTTTAATTTGTCCGAGAGAATAACAAGGTAATCATCAAAATGGTTGGAAAAATTGCAGTAGTCATGTGCATTTTGTTCGTTGCATTGGCATTCACCGACGCCAATCCCGTCATAGGTAATAGATATTCGAATTTTACAAAAAATCGTAGTTTTCTTTTGGAATTTTTCCTAATTCACTCTAATGTATGTTGAAATTACAGATTCAGCTGGCGAATTTGATTTGGTTGGAGTGTGCCTGCGAAATTGTGCGCAATGTAAAAAAATGTATGGATCATACTTTGAAGGTCAAATGTGTGCTGATGGCTGTGTCAAATTCAAGGGGAAAGTCATTCCAGGTGCGTTATTTTCACATTTTTATTTCGTACATGTTGCGTCATCATTTCAAAATATGCACTTACATAATATAATTCTCATTTTTTTTTTCGCTTTGCAGATTGCGAAGACATCGGTTCGATCGCACCATTCCTCAACAAATTTTGAACATGAAGTAATACGTATATTGGATTAAATCCATCATAACGTGATAGTTGATGTGTGATTTTTCGTTTCGTTTAAGATTATAATTAATGTATTTATTTTTAAGTTAATCGCTTTTTTTTCTAAAACGATGTCAATGGCCCGGGCCGAAACATTTTCATTTTCGTTAACATTACAAACGGTATGCTAAAACAAATGCCAGATTTGTAAAAAAATCATCATTATTTATGTTCGCATCATTCGAAATATACTATAATAAAACTTTTCTTTTTGGGAAAATAAAAAAAAATCGAATCGTTTTTTACTCAAACAAAGCTTTATTGTTAAAAATAAATAGGGTTTCAATTCAGTTTTGGTGGTTCAAAATCATTCCTCTGCTAATTCAAAAATTGTGTGATTCATCATAATGTTTTGGCACAATGCGTAGTTCCCAATGTGATTTATCGTGTCCACGTTTGTCATAGTGTTTATTTTTCATTTGAAATATTTTATCGATTTCGGCATGCAGTTCGTCTGGGCTGCTCAATTTCTTTGTCACCATAATTCGTTCGAACTTTCGCTTGCGCACTGGTTGATAAACATCCTTGTGATTGTATGGAAGGCCATGGGAGTTTGTGTTATGCACAAGTTTGGCATTTTCTGATATAGGATTTTGAGAACTGCAAATGGGTCGTCGACGTTTTTTCACTTTTTCATTTTGGGTCGACCCATGAACGTAAGACTCCTTTGTATTTTTCTCAACCGTATCGTGCATCTCAACATCTTTATCGGGCATCATCATTTCACCATAATCGTCGAAACTGTCATCATTTGCCGTTTGTTCTTGAATATTGGCCAATTTTTGACGGTTTTTTTCCTTTTTCTTACCTTTGTGTGAACCATGATAGAAGACCACGTCATGATTTGGATTGGGTAGCTCATGAACATGTTCTATTTCTTCACTAGTCGCAGTTGTTGGTTTATTCTTTTCCAATTGATCATAAAAATACTGATCATTCGATAGGTCATCCAATTCGGATTCTTGGTATTTATGCGGTCTTGGTTTAATGTGCACACGTAATCGCTCTCGATGTTTTGGCTCTTTATCTTTTCCGGTTACAGTTTTTGTCGTATAAACCGTTGTCGTCATATCATGATGACTTGGCTTCTTTGTTTTCGTTCGCTTTGATTCATAGTATTCGTAGACTTTGAGGCCTTTCGATTTCTTTTCACCATCGTGATGGTGATCACCATCATCGTCAAAATCACGAGACCGCCGACGACGCTTAGTGAAATCCTGACAAACAACGGAAAAAAGCGAAAGGTATTTATTTTGGGTCTTAAGGCACAAACATACCATACCTTACCGAAGGAGTGCATTCTGTGTATTGTGCAAGTGTAATATATTCATTGATGTGTTTGTTCGCTTTTTTTACAGTGCATCATCATTATTGATGTATTGGGACCATGGGTAGCAATCACAATAATCACATAAAAAAAAATCGACTTCTCAGACCACCGAAATTCCTAATGTCTAATTGCAGGAGTTTGTGCATTTATTTACAAAAAATTTGATTTATTTTATTAAATTTTGTATCTTTATTCGCAGCTTCTCTATATACAATTTTCTGTAATGTTGTCTTAAATGCTAAGAATGTCTTGCTTATTTTTGTTGCTTATGTACAAAAAAATCGTATTCTTGAATTCATCAAATGTTTATACAGTGTAAAAGAATTATGTTACGATTTCTTTGTAGTTTATTTTATTTAAATTAATCCCGTAAAATTGTATGTAAGTTGAAAATCTTGCTGCAATGAAATATTGGTTGAAGTTAAAGAGAAGAAGAAATATTTCAAGGAAAGAAAAGGAAGAAAGTTGATAGACAGAAATAAAAAGTGAAAAACAGATAGACAAGAAAAGATGTTGAAGAAAAAAAGAGTTTTTCTATGGCAAAAAATGTAATGTATGGTTTCTTTGAGTGAATGTTTGAAATGAGTGTGAACGGTGGCATAGTATTTACATGAAATTGTGGTGCATTTAAAAAAAAAACACATTTTTTCACTCCAAACGAATGACTTTGAGAAAAAAAATAATTAAAATCTTAACACGAAATTTGAGCATTGTTATTCCATGTGCTTCCCAAGTGTATGCGCCCAAGGAAGCGGATTTTATTTGAAGCTTACCACTGTGTTTGGAATTTCATTTAAAACATTCTGAAATAAATAGAAGACGGTTTCGTTTTTCATCGAGAAAAATTAAAAACTTTGGTAAATCTTACGAATTGATGTGGCGCCAAGTCTGGTGCATATTCAGCCCATTTCGTAAGGTCTATTGAAGGGATTATTCCACTCTTGCATGGCACACGGGGATTACTGTGAAAATAAAAAATAAATTATTAAAAAAAGTCGTCATAAAAAGACATTGGACGTGGAGTGTTTTTGACACGTACATTTCGTGATCAGGTAAAACCATTGGATAAATTTGAACGGTGTCAATCAAGTCGGTGTTATCGCAAATGATTCGTGAGAATTTTGTTTTTCGCAGCTCTTGAAGTTGTTCGGGTGTAAATGTCGATGGTTGATTTGGCAATTCATACCAGAAACGATCACCGCGACGAATGTAACTCATTTGGGTGGCGATAACACAAGCAAATGTTGGTCCTAACATTGACCCTGGCAGCGGCTTTTCGGAAACTCCACCACTCCATAAATCAATATCAGCTGGATGTCTACAAATGAAAATTGAAAGTTATGCTATGCTTTTAACAGGTTCAGAAATAGTGATTTTACTCAAAAATGCTTTGATAACGGTAAATAGTCTCATTGGTCATTGTTCCGCCCATTTCTTCCCATGTATTTGACACTGGTAGACCGCAGAATTTACGGAATTCCATGTAACCAGGCAAACCAAATTCACGACCTCTTTGCATGTTAAATGAAACTAAATCGTGTCCAAAACGATGGCCGTCTTTTTTAAATAGATGATTTGTGACTTCTTGGGTAATTGAATCGTCCATCGCTTGAGCCACTTGATTCATGAGACCCATTAAGTACTCGTCAAATACACCAGCACGGTACAAGTCGAATGGACGACGAATCAAATCGGATAAACGTTTTGAGGCTAAAATCGAAAAAAATTGATTTAATTTCAAAGCTGCTTTTGAAAATAAATTCAAAATAAACGTACAAATGAATTTATGTGCTTTCGACCATCTTTCAACGGCTGTTGGCAACAATGAGTGACCGAAACGGAATGAAGCAGCCGCAAATGAATCCAAAATTGATGGATTCACCTTTGGATCATAGCTGAAAATTGAAAAGTTATAGGAATTTTATTCCACTTATTCAGTTGACTTTGATGAAGTTATATTCTTACCCATCCCAATATCCTTCTTTCGACAAAACCAATCCGAATTTCTCCATCACTTCTTTTCCCAACAAAATCGGCAAGAACTCATTGTATGTAATGTGTTGTATCATTGCAATATTGATGCGACGTGATTCTTGGAATAAAGTTTCATCGTCCCAATGTGGATTGACTGCGGCTAATCCTTTGGCCAATTCATTATGATTTCGTGCCATTAATGTGTGCATACATGACAATACCAATTGTTCATTAACACGAATTTCACCAGCTTCAAAACAGAAAACACTCTTATTTGGTCGTGTACAACCTTCATCCGGAAAATCGAGTTTCAATGGTAATAAATCTTTTAAACCATACTCCTGAAAAACTGGATTCATTCGCAATAAACCGCCGTGACCTTCTCGCAATTTTCGCGAGAATTGCTCTTTCACACCATATATGGTGTTGCCATCAATAACACCCGTTACTGTGAATTTAACATTTAAAACATCATTTAAAATTCATAAAATATTATTATATATAAAATCCAAAACTTACGTGTGTTGAACGGTGCACGAGAGCCAAGTTTACATCCGGCTCTTGGTGACGGGAATGCTCGCACAAAATCGATACATTTTACATTGAACAAACGATAGAAGTAATCATCGTCTGGAACACGAATTTCATTACAGTATGGATGCTTCAAGTGTAATGCACGATTACAACATTCTTCTGGGTCGTTGCCTGTTTAAATTATTATTAAACATATTTTATATTGTGTGTTATTCAAAAGAACAATTAATGAATAAAAAAATGCGTACGATTAGCTGGATCCAATGGAGTACCCGTTAATGTGAAATCATGATCCATAAATTGACCCCAAGCGATGACCTGCAAAAATTGAAAATCAAATAAATGAGAATAAAGGAAAAAACGCTTCTTTTTCTCTCTCTCTCTAACCATTACGGTGCCGGCGTGATCATGGAAACCTTCATCGGGGTGAATTGTTCGCGAAACAACACGGGACAGTGGTAAATCTCGACCGGTCACCGAAATTCTTGGTGCATTTATTCCATCGGCATATAGGGGTCCGATCAATCTTTGGAACGGTGTCATAGTGGCTCCCCACGTTGGATGCTCCAGATTATTGCATAAACCATCGAAACGACGATATTTTCCAGCACGACATTCAACGCCCGATAAAAATGGCGGACACACTTCACGGATCAGCGTTCGCGATGTATCGATTTGGGGTAAACCATTTTCAATATCTTCATACGATAGGCCATATCTAATTAAGAGTAAAAACAAAGAATTCAATGACTATTTTTTGTTGAAAAAAGAAGGTTTTTACTTGTTAGCGTGCATTGAGAAACATCCGTGTGTTCAATTTCAACAAAACAGTGTTCAATTTCTTGGAAATGTTTTTGATAAGGTTAAATGAATGAACAATGCAATCTTTCGATGCAGAAAACAAAAGTGATTCAAAACAGTTCGAGTGAACAAACGAGCAAAGCAACTTTAATGAAAGTTGTTATGTATAATGTGTTCCATAGAATGGCGTTTTATTGTAATGGCGATGCGATCATAACGTTCAGCTCAATTTTACCATGAATATTGAGCACTTTATTTTGTTTGCAACGAATAAAACCATGATAAAAACAAATGTTTACAATAATTAAACAAAACCAGCAACAAATGTATGAATGAAATGGCTGGCGGTGATTTTTGTTTTGTTCCACCTTTTCTTAGTCATTCATTTTAAAACAAAATGCTTGAGCTATTTGTTAATTGTCTACCATTTGTCTACCATATCAAAGGTTAAGTTCACCGTCATTTAGATTGATTGATGAATTTCGTTTGCGTCTAATTTTGGGTCAACGTCGATCGAGCCTTTCTCATTTTGTAGTCCTCACCAATTCAAGTGAACGATTATGAAATGGTCAAAAAAAGAAATCAATTTTGAATTTTGAATTACACAAAAGTGTGTTGAGTCAACTGAAAATGGACTGTGCAATAATTCGTGAGGATGAATCATATGCAGATCATATCTCGATTTGATGGATTGGCATAAAATCCATTTAACTTTTACTTTCGCTTTCGGTTACCGTAATTGTTTCATACATTTTTTTTTGAGTTGCTTTGAATGAGCGTTATTCTTGCAGGGCAACGATAATTTGAGACATAGAAGTGATTCAATGAATGTTGCAAAAGTGGCGCTTTTAGCAAACGTGATCATTTTTGCATAAGTGAAAATCCATGAAGGCATAACGATCATGGGATCACGGGTGTTATCAAAAGTAGACAATCCAACCAATCGATGATGACTTTATTTAAAAGACTGAAAACCAATTCTCAATTTACATCGTGGATTTGTTGATCTTGGTTATTTTTTATTTGGCGATGGTGTGCATATCATGTTGCTCTCGTGCGAGCCCAAGAAGATTCACGATCTCGATAAAAATAAATTGGATTTTAATAATGTATTTAATATCGAAATAATTATCTGTTTAAGATCACAAGACAGTTACACGTATGTATTTGATAGCAATTTGACTGCTTGGGGCTAGAAATCTAATCGCATCATCTTGATCTGTTTGCATCAATCACTATTATTACGTGTACATATTCAAATTGGCAAGTTACTGGTTGCTAGCATATTAAATTACATGTCACATGTTTATTAAATTGCATATGGGATGTACAATGTACACTCTTATATCTCCGCTCAAATTGCACACGATGAGCTAGGGCAAAATGTTTATGTTTGCTCGTGGATAAGATGCAACATGGAATTAAATCGATCGAAATGGAAGAAAACAAACCGGATCGACGACCAGCATTCATGAACACACACATGGATCCAACACTATGTGACCGCCATTGGTGGCTTTGCTTCCTCGAAATATCGTTTGGAGCAAGAATATTGAAGATGATCCATATAAATTTGCATTTCATGAAATGCTCAATTAATTCGCAATAAAACGTTTATACAATTCATCTTTGATCAGTTGAGCAATCGCAATAAACAATGGGGTGTTCAAGAGTGCATTCAACATGGGCGTTTACCCAAAACTATGTTCTCTTAATGAAATGTGTACACACACCATGTGCGGAATAAAAACTGCGTGTGCGTACTCTGCGCCAAACACCATTTGAATCCATTCATTCAGTTTTGCTGCTTTTGATCGCTCAATAGTTTTTACGTCAAACATTAATTGTTTGTTCACTCAAATTATACATAAATTTATGTTAGATTATAGTCGACGACTCGCAAAAATTAAGACTAAGCGGATAATTTTATGCTCACTTATGGCTACAATGAAACAAATTGAAGCAATGCATTTCGCGAATTAAATCGACTCTTAAGCACACTTACAATCTGGGAACTAATTACTTCATTTTCATTCAATGCAAATTTAGCTGGAGTTTAACTTCAACTTACGCTATTGTAAAAGCGCACTTTTTCAAGTCAACGGTGGTTTTTTTAGACCAGCATGATGTTGTGCATGAAAAATGCTTGCATGCGATGCATTACACATTTTTATTCAAATTGTTTGAATCAAACACACATGATGTTTACTACTTTGGACAAAAGAGTTTATTTAGATCTCGTGGTTGTGCACAGTAGCGTACTTCTATGACGTTTTTTTTCCTTCACCCGCGAATTTTTTTTTCTAATTATTGTTATTATACAATTAACTGCATTAAATCAAATTATACGCCATACATTTTTGGACCGAGGTAAATTAACATGATGGCATAAATTGAACTGAACCGAAACATAAATTGTTAAAAGATAAAAAAAGATACTTACGTTCTCGCCAATTGAATTGAAATATCCAACAGAAGCTCACCAACGGTAGCGATTTCTTCAGTTTTCCATTCGCCCTTCGGCTGCGCCACGGCTTTTCACATGAAAAACAAACAATTTATTAAAATTGATGCCTTCAATCAAGTGTAAGGATTTGCGATTTTTTTTAAGTTTTCGATGTTAAATCATTCCGATCCAAAACCGAAAGAAAATGACTTCTCTTTAAGAGATTGAATAAATTCCATTAAAGTGCATCAATGCTTACCAATTCTCTTGCGAGCATCCAAATAAGCGGCATTAATGCTATCGTAGGTAATACAGGTCTTTGAAGTGTCTTGAATGGTATTTCTAATTAAAAAAGAATTGAATTAAGAAAAATTGGTATAAAAAAATTGTAAAATGACTTGATTATTGGTAAAATGATTGACACAAAAAAAGTCACATTTTTTTTCGTCACAATAATCGTTTTTTTTTTTCTCAAGTGTTGGTGCCACTTTAAATTTAATCTGTGTGTATCAATAGTAATGTCGTCAAGGTAACAAGACGCTTAATTTAAGTCTACTAAATGAATGTAATAAAATCGAAAGTGAAATAGAAATAATTTGGTTTCAAATAGAAATTCGCAGTGATCTGAATTCGCGAGGCAGAGATGAAACTTTAATAAAGTAATTAACGCATTCTGACCTTGCTGTTTAAAAAAAAGGTGAGAAAAACCATTATTTGAATTGCTTGGGGTGTTGTCGGTGACAAAGTAACTGTTTGCCTTGGTTTCGTTTTTTTTTTTCATTCACAAGACTCATTCTATTCTCTCATATATGGACATCAAGTCTAACCAATTTTTTTTCTAACCATAATCAATTTGTAATCCATAAGCTGCATGTCACCAAAGTATAGTAATTTAAAGAAAAAAAAAACAGATGCAAAAAATACGTGTGGTTAAATGAATGGTTACTTACAATCCTCCGACTCGAAATACATTCAATGTGTGATCGTATGCTGATGATCGAGCTCCACCGGGCAGAATAAGCGCACATTCCGATCCTATCGTATTTACTTCAACCGGTTGTAAAAATTGTGCAAATGTCGCCCATGTGGTGAATATTGAAACAATTATTAAAAATCTGAAATGAAGAAGAAACGATTTTAATTTTAAACATTTGGAAAAAAATTCTTCGAGTAAAAAATCGAAAATCCGGATGTGTATCCGATCCATTTGGATGCAGTGAAATTAACAGCATTTTCGTCAAACAAAATGTCTTTAGTTTTTGAAAGACTCATGAAACCGGTTACCGGAAATTCCAGTTTAAAAGTTATGAAACTACGATTGAAACCGCTGTGAATATAATATCTTTTGTAGAGAGTAATGGTGATGGAATATTTAGAGAAAATAGACGTAGAAATTATTGTGATGTACCGTGACCACATTTTGTATGTGGCACAAAAGATGCGACACGCGAAAGTACGGTAATATTTACACATAAAATGCATTTAATATTTGTGGCCTGTTTGGTATAATAAAGGAAGTGAATGCTATTTTGCAATTTAGATAGAGGCAAGAGAGGTGCCGCCATCAGATCGGCATTTCAATAGAATCTTTTTCAGTTTCTAATATTTTATATTGGTTTTTACTGATTTCACTTCAATTATATCGAAACAAAGCGAAGAATATTGATGGATTTCCGTACAATTGACCATCTACTTTCACGTCCGATTGTTAGGTAATATTTTTTAGTTCATTTCATTTTTTTTTGTATCACATTTAATAGCGAGATGGCATCTCAGATCCAACAAATTCTTCATTCATTTCAATGAAAGACCATTTAATTCAAGACCAACGCACTTTTACATTGTCTTTTATTCGAGCGTTTAACACACTTCACCTTGTATAGCAAACCAAGCAAACCATCTTAATAAAGCAAACTTTTTCTTTTTCAAGTCGGCTTCGTTTTCGCTTAAATGGCAATCAACAAAGATTCTTTTATAATGTGTTTATTTGATTTTCTTTTATTACTTAGTTTTGCACATCAAAATCGAAATCGAAAATTGGCATTTAATTGTCAATTTACAAAGACAAAATAACGACCACAGACAAACGCACCGTGCCTCCTCTGAATATCGGCAAAATGCGTGAAGAACTAGAGTGAAACGAATGTGAAAAGTGTTCGATGAACCGTTGAAAATAAAGATATTTTGTGTGGCGGTGCAAAAATTGCCGATGAAATGTTTCTGTCGAAACAAAGCGTTTTGATGCATTCGGGCTCGTCACAGCCGCGGCTGCTACAAAAAAAGCTGTTAATCCAGTTTCATCAATGGAATATAGAGTGTGGCATTCTTTTTTTTCGTTTTGTCTTTTTTTTTTCTTGTGTCGTTACCACTTAGCAATTTCAAATGGCGTGCTTTACACAGATCTTTACACCGTTTTTTATGAGAAAAAAAGTCGACTTCACAACGATATTTTAATGTGCGTCGTGTGTACACAGTGTTTCACATGTGCAACACTTTCTGTCACACAGTAAACGGCAGTCACTGTGCTTAGCACTGTGCGCACGCAGATGGCAAAGCGAAGAAAAAAAAACGAATAAAGCGTTAGAGAAAATGTTGCGTAGAAACGCCGACTTGATGAATTGTGGCATTATATTGCGATATGAAGCGGTGTGCGTGTATTATTCGATAGCGGAGAACGAATGTAGAGTTGAAATCAGTTGAAGTGTTTGAAAAATCACCTAGATGCAACGAAAAAGTACACAGCGACCCGTTCGAAATGGCCAATCGAATTGGATTAACTTGACTTCAACATCAAGTGACTTTGGGCTATTTCGTTCATAAATTATTATACAAACGTACGAAGATCGAGCGAGAAACGACTTTTCTTCCGCTGATTCCGTACTGTAATCTAAATTGATTTATTAGCATTGCACATATGGAGGACATAGACGGTGAACTTTTCAATATCTACTGCTTTCAAATTCCATGTCGTATACCCGGCACTTTTTTCTCTCGCATTTTTACCCGCAAAATATTTATAATGCACGTATTTCGATCGGTAACTTTTTATAGTTTTATGATTTGATTCGTTTCGATTTATTTACTGTGTGAATTTGAAATCGATTGAACGATAGACATAATATTGGCCACTGACTCAGCGGCAATCACAATTACATTTTGAGCAAACCATTCAAGTGGAAACACTTTACCGCACTTTCGATGCTCGATATTAATAATATTATTTGGTAAGGAATATTATATGAAGTAGAAATGCCGACATTTTTCATGATTTATGCAATCGATGCGAGACGAAAAGGTTAAGGTCATATTGTCACCGTCGCTGTCTTGAAAATAAAAGTTAAACGCAATGCACTTCGTACGTCGAAAAAGGGAAAATAACACAAACTGGAACTGTGAAGATATATGTCTGTATTTATTTCTTTTGTTTGAATACCGGATTTTTAATGAGCCACCAAACCGTGCAAAATCACGGCAATAATATTTATAGCGAGAAAATTGAAAAAAAAAAATATATGATATGCTCATTTTTGAATTCGAATTTGAAGCAAAAAAAAAAATGAGTAATTATGTTTTTGCACCAAACCAGGAACTTGTTTATTGTAATTGTGCTCCAGATTAATGTAACATTGTTCACATTTCTATTGGTAATTTCATTCATTGATTGTGAAATTGATCTCATTTTACACATTTCTTACTCCCTTCAGCCACACCATAATTTTCATATGAATTTGGACAATTATTTCGATCTACAGATTGGTAGCCAACAAATGATTGACTTTTTTGTTGTTTAATTGCTTTTCTTTCAGAAAGCAGTTATCTCACATCAGATTTTATGACAATCGAATACGTAATTGAATTTATGGATTGTTCCCTGGCGACAATTACTTTTCCTTGACCTGATTCACGAAAAAAAAAGATACTTTTGAAGACGTTCGAATCCTCTCGTTGGCTAAAAAAACGGTGTTCACCAAAAATATTCTCCAAGCTAGACTTCAAGCGACAAAAATTGCAAGCTGACCACAATATAAACTCGTTTTTTTAACATGGGCCATTCACAATTTTTAAATCACAACAAGCACATTTCAACAAATTGTCATTTATGCAATCAACATATATGTTCTACCTTCGGTTTATGTATTTCGCCAAAGACATTTTCAGCATTGATGTTTTTATCGGTGGCCCCGATTCAGATAAAATTTTAAAAAATGTACTGATGAAACTTTGATTTTTTCCGTCTTTTCATTATAATGTGCACCTTTTTATCATTTCATCAAAAAGTATCGTAATTAAAAGTAAATAATGGTGCGCACCGTGTGTTCACATGGTGAAATGAGTGCTGTGTTGAGTGTTAATTAGCAATTAAATGTAGCAATGTTCCGATCAATCCAGATTCATGCATAAATTAATTCAAAGGTATTTGGCGTGAGCAAGAGATCGAAGATATCGGATATGACAAGGAATAATAATATGATGGATGTTTATAAAAAAAGCGACGACTCAACGCATACACAAATAAATGCACGCATAACACGATCAAACGAAGATTTATGTCATTTAATTACCATCGCACGTGGAAGAGTCGCGGGGATGAGATTGAGCGCGCAAAACATTAAACGATTTATTATCGAGCACATTTTTACCGGTTATTAATTTCAATTATACATCGAGTGTGTCTGAATAATTGAAAATTCAACAGTTTGTTGGTTTTTTTTCTGAGCCGCTCTGCAACAATGTATTACCGATTTAACAACAAATATTCATTATCCAGTGACACCCAATAAAAATGTATTGATTGACCAATTTTCAATTTCTTTGCTGGTTTTTTTTGCCATTTCTTTTTTAAATGGGTTTTCATACAACGGAAGTCGATGAAGTATCGAAACGTGTACTAATGTACTTGGCGATCTTTCTATACGTGTTAATTGATTGAGATAATAGAAAAATAACGGCGAAATCAATTAATTTTCTTTATTTACATTGGTAAATGTATTCAAAATGAATTAAAGTTGGCATGCTAAATATGAAACCACAAAAAAAAAAAACATTTTAATTTTGGAACTTCATATGGATGACGTTTGTTCATTTCTTTTTGTTATAATATTCCTAACGGAACTTTGTAGCTTAAAATTGATTGCTTGAGTAAATAATTTGATCGTTTATTTACGATTATAATTTATTTGCGTGAGTTTGCATAGTTTTTTTTTTAGAACTTGTGCACATTTTCGGTTCTACTTCGCATCACTTAAAAAAATTTAACAAACAAAAAGGTGCACTTACTTCAAAAACATTTTGCTAAAAGGTACACTAAAAACACAAAAATCCATAAAGAATAAGGAGTGCCGCTGCTAGGCCTTTCGCAAGAAAAATGGGCTAAACAAAATCCCCGCACAAAAAAATGACCCACTATTTTCAAGCGTTCACAACAAATTCTTCGAACGCAAATATAAAATCGAACGGTAAACGGAAAATAAAAATCCAGTAAAATTAAATTTTACGATGTACAAATTTCCGTCATTTTAATGCACTAAAATTTTGTAATAACAATTTCACTTTATGCGTTTCGATTTGAATTGTATGTCATTTAATTTGATTGTCTGGTTTTCTTTTCGCTTTTATCTAGATTATATACTTTTAATTTTAAACAAGTTTCAATCGTCACTCGAAATTATGTTCAAACACTTGAATATTTTCAAAGTCGACAAAATGGTTGCAGACACTGTTCATAGAGAGAAATCCGCGACTGGTCTGATTAACGGTTCACCATCAACTGAGGATTTGAAAGTGCTTCAAGAAATGAAATAGGAAAGCGTTTCATGAAAACCTTTTACCCAAACCAACGAAAGAAACCGTCGACAATTCGCACTTCCAACACGTACTTCCAGTATTACGATTATGGTTCAGAAACCGAATAACGCGTTGTTTCCACTGCTGCGATCTTTTCTCATTTACACTGTACGGCCAATCTCGAAGGGGAAATCATCTCGATCACATGATATTTCGATTATGAAGGGGAACACGTCGCGATCGCACACCATTTCCAATGTACACTGTTAGTTAATGAAACGTGCGTATGTTTGAAACAAACAACTGCTGATGTGCTAAGCAAGTCTCTGTCTGGAGAACGCATATATGTTTAGTATCGTCTACATTCTTCGAGATGTAAATGTAACGTGTTTGGCTTTGATACATTTGCGTTCACATTAAGGAGGTCGTCTGTGTCTCATATGTTTTGTAACGGTAGTTGGAGTAAAATATTCAATCGATCAGTTGCTTTATTTGTTCGCGTCATTTCACTGGCGTATGTTTACGATTTGATGTGTTTAAAGCACACCCGTTAATCAATTTACATTCATGATAAGTGTAACGAAGGTTAATTTTGATTTTGTTGTTTCAAATTAAACTCAACACCTTTGCGTGGTTGAAATGTGAAACAAATGACCCGAAAATAAATTAATCAAATGAATGAAAAGAAATAAAAGACAATGTTAAAAACAACCATAGTTAAATGTTGTCTTTGAATGTTTTTCATTGTTTAATCATGTATGAATGTACATTGAAAAATGAAATTTATTCATTTGATGGGAAAGAAATACCTCTTACTCTTCAGATAAGCAATGGAACAATAAAAAAATTGACTTCTTTCCTGATAAAATCATTCGCTCTATTTAATTCTCTTTCTTTTTAACTCTCGGTTTCTTTAACGAAAAAAGGGTCAATGTTGTAACGAAAATCGCCCGAGGAGACAGTGTGCTCTATTGGAATGACCGATATTCCATTAATCGTTATTATCGCCTCTGTCTTTACATTTCAGCGAAATGGATCATGTGATTTACTTCAAGGCCCGGTTGTCAGATCAATCGATTAAATTTCATTCAAAAACATTTCAACAACAATGATTATGTTTGGTTCATTTTTAGCTAAGCTGAATGGATAAATATGAGTTTATTTGATCGTCATCCGCTTTACATAAAATGATCGGATCTGCGCCTATATGTTGAGCTACAGTTAATGTCGGTTGATACTAAAGCATGACTTTTCAGCTGACCTCCTTTGGCTTCACTTTCATAGACAATCATACACAGAAAATGCATGATTCAGCCAGCTGATCAGTCTCCAGGTATTACAGGGCATGAATTACGCTCTGTATTGAACACACCGCCGTGCTTCACTGTACGATTTCACAAGTTGCGCATACTTTAATATTCTTTTTACTTATGGTTAATATTTATCCTGTAATTCTTGGTGTTTAATTTCCACATTGACAAGGTGTGCGATCGCTGATCATAGCTATTAGTAAATGTATAACGTTACTGCTTCTTTTATGTAGCATTTTGCTATAGATACACGAACCCTGATCTGTACACACAATTTTTTCTTTAATCTTCAACGAAGTAAGTTTTTTGTTTTAGCTCTGCTTTTTTGCCATGTTACACAACGATTAAAAAAATGTATTTAGTTAAAAAAAATTAAAAAAAGGTGAATAAATAAACAGAATAAACGAAAATATGTGTACGACTTTTTTTATCTTTCCTCATGTACCGCACAGCCACACTACTAGACGTAATGATATTTTTTCATGATGTAGGTTGATATTTGACGGCATTTCAGTCGTAAGACTGCGATTTACTGTTAGTAAGTATCATTTTTTACAATCTATTAGAAATGTACAGTTTTTTTTTCGTGTGACGTTAGTAATGAATGGAATTTCATACCAAGACCGAAAATATTCAAACAACATTTGTCTTTTTGAGGTGTTAATTCCAAAAAAAGTAATTTTGTTTTTGCAATTTCAACCAAAATCTCGGTGATGAGGAATGATGAATGTTTGTAAAGACACTGATGATTGTCGCCTTTTTCGTCATCAACAAATTGTACAAACACATTTGACATCGTATTACAATCGATCACAAAAATGCAATCCATATTTGTTTAATGCAGCTACAAATTTAAAGAGGTTTAATAATGGGTACCGGTGTTTTATCCATTCATGCCAAACGACAAACGCAATTGACGCTGGTTTTACTTTTGAATAAATGCTTATTTGCATTTCGATAATCGTTTTAATTAAATCTTTAGGCCTTAAACGAACACATGCGATTCATTCTATCAAAAAAACTGTTCAAAAATGATTATTATTAGTCACAGCCTTCGTCAACCATATCCAAATAAGTTGGCAAAATAAAAATCGCGTCGGAATGAAATCATAAAATCTACGCAGCTCAACGTAATTGCAAACGTTTATGAAAAGAATGAAAGGTTTGCGACCGGGAATGAGAGACGTATGGCCACACCGTTACACTAATTGACGATTAGCGTGATGGAAAAAAGTGTGTATGCACTGCTTTTTTACGGTTCAATTTTATATCTAATATAATTAAATATATGCACATAAGCGCACACAATTTACGTGCCTTCACATTTTATGCACAATTTCTATGCACAAAAACACACACGGGTCGACCCGAGTTTGTTTGTTACAGTGAGATTTTATGTTTTTGCTTTAATTAACATGGTATTAATAAATTTGAACACGAAAAAAAAACGATTTCAAATGATAAAATGGCTTTTTTGCCGCAGGGGACTGCGTATAGAAAGGACCAAATTCACACAAATTTTTAATATAATTTACAGCAACCAAAAAGCAGAAAACATTCACGGTTCCTTTAGTGAAAAACTGATTTGAATAAATATATCCGCATCCGTGACGAGTACGGATGAAGTGGTCATCTGTGGGAGTAATGACAGTGAGCCGATGGTTCTCCACTCATAAGTAACGTATAGAAACCATGACAGCGATGCTCAAATTGTGATTTGTCCAAATAATGCTCATTGAATTTAGTTTTCAATATGGAATGGAAGTGATATTGATTAGAAAATTGCTAGGAAAATTGTGTTTATTGCTATTTATTGATCTAATCAAACTGAGGCTATTCTTTTGGAAATTCCATCAGTCAGTATCGTTTTGAATCAATTATCATGTGAAATTGTTGATTACATATGGGATTTATACGATAGAAGACATCTGATGTCGATATGTATTTTATCCTTGTTTCAACGTTAAAAACCAACAGCAATGAACAATAAACAGAGTGTTTGTGGTAGTCTGTGTATTTATATGCACCATCAAACACAAAAAGCATTAAACTAACTGACGAAAATGTTTGCTGCTAGTTCAACTAGTTTTTCTAGCATGGACGTCCTCTAGAAAAACCCATAAACAATTAACACCAATTAATTTGCCAATCACATACACTGTTGTGTGAAAAAATCATAATGACCAACGTAAGTTATTCTATTTCTCGCATTTTTTTGATCAGTTTTGCGAACGGAATTGGGATATATCAGTGTTGACATGCAAATCAGCCAAGTGATTCGAATAATTTACGGACTTCAATTGATTTAATCTAATATCTTCCGTTCAACTGAAAGAATAAGTATATCCTCCATCTCAACTGAATTTTCTGACTGGATTCAAATCGTAGTATTCATTTTCAAAATTCAGTCAATCATATTACATTCGCACTTTACGCTCAAAACTGTGTATGTGACAAAAGTTAGATTTATGAATATAATGCTCACTTTTTTTTACCTCTCGTCAATATATTTTATAATAATAATTGCGCGCGCGCAAAAAAAAGACTGAATTTAACAAAAACGAATCGATTGTGCAAAAAATGTTGACGTATATGAGCTAAGATATTGATCTGCTATGATCGAAATGTTTGAAAGTAAATTACGATTTGAAATTGGGGTATATCTCTAGCGGCTATCTCTGTTGAGCCAAAAATCGGCGCAGAAATCAATTATCTTTGTAAAATGTTTCATCTCGCTCTGTCTCGCACAATGCATTATTATTTATGTTTGAATTAAGCGGTTTTTTTTTTCATCTCAAAATGCGTGTCACATTAAAACATAACATGCATGTCGAATAATGGCTTTCGGGCCAACTGCGAGCGATATTTTGTGTGATTGTCGGTTATAACAGCATGACATCGCACAAATCAATTGAGTTTTGCGTATATTGCCTGGAACCGGCAAAGACTCCTACCATTTCGCGTATTTTTTTTTCTCTCCTTAAAACGAACTGCACTCTCTCGAACGAGAGTAATCTTGTCTTCAATAATTGACAGATTTTAATCTATTTTATCTGAGACATCAAATAACAAACAACTTTGAAGCGAAAAAAAAAAAAATCGCGCACATGAAAATGAAAGTGAAGTGAACACGATGGAATGGAGCTGAAATTATACGTGATTCTATGGTTAATGAAATGATTTAATCTGTCGTCAATTCGCCCGCTTGCATACCAAATTCTAAGAGAGTGAAAAGTTGGTCAACGCATTTATTTTGATGAAAAAACCAAACGGTTGTATGAATCAAACGAATGTAAACCGTTCTTGTTGCATTCAATAATTTTATATTGGTCTAATTTTTATGAGGCGGTTGGTGAAGGCTGATTAAAATATAAAAGTCCAATACCACCAATTTGTAAAGCGACCGTCCGATCGGCACACACTTTGGCACAATTATTGTCAAATGTGCGGGAAAAATGCGGTTGAATTCAACGACGAAAATCGTGCAAATCATTTAATAATTTATAAGTTCAACTGTAATGGAAACATAAAGTGATTATACGTAAAAAAAGGCAAGGCTCGTACATTTTTTGTCCACACAATTCAAAGAGCGCAATCAATGAATTTAAAAGCCAAATACATTTGCTTTGTGTTTGTTTTTTGTCTTTGACAAAAATTTCACATCGCCACGCTCGACAC